ATCTTTTTATTTTTCCTCAAAAAGCTAAATTATTTTTACCAAGATTCTTTACAATGACAATAATTTTTACTAATACATATTGCCAATATTCTTTTCTCTCTATTAATTTGTTGTTGGATACTTTTATCAATTGTTTTATTTAGTTGCAATCTTGTTTCTAATTCAATCCAAGTATTCATATTAGTTATATGCTCATTAGTTATTTCATGATTTTTAAGTTTAACACCAATATTTCTTCAATCTTTTGTTCCTTTATTAGCTAGTTTACTTGTAGAATAATTCATATTAAATAACTTCCAACAAAAATAAAATATTTTATCCAAATCTTTTGAATATACTATCCATCTTCTATCAAGTGTTTCCCCATTTGTTAATTTGTGAATATAATGTGTAGTGAAAAAATGTCTAGAGTGTTCATCCCGAGGAAAATCTAAATTATTATATCTAATTGGACCACTTTCTACTAATAAATCTCTTAATTTCGTATCAATATTTTTCCATTGACTTGGATCATAAATATTTATATGACTATAATCACTTGTTTCATTAAGATTTTGATGGTCTTCCATTTCATTATCTTTTATTTCACTATTTTCTTTTTCAATATTTTCTATTTCATTATCCTCTATTTTATTATCTTTTATTTCAATATTTTCTATTTCAATATTTTTTATTTCATTATCTTCTATTTTATTATTTTTATTTCAATATTTTCTATTTCAATATTTTGTATTTTATTCTCTTCTATCTCATTATCTACTTGTTCATTTTAAAATTTTTATCTATATTTTTTGTTACATTATTTTTGTTACTAGTGACAAATTTATCAAGCGATCCTTTTTTGAGATTCTATTAGTTGATCTATTTTTATTTTTTTTTAATTTTTCTTGTCCACTTGGTTGTCTTCTAGGTGCTATATTATTAATATATTATAACTATATAACAACCAAACAAACACAATATATATTATAGTTAAAAATATATAACAAAAAATTTTAAAATTATGAAACAATAGAACTTGATTTGAATGATCTCAAATGTTGGTTTTTTGGCTCTAAACCATGTCCTTTATGTTGCAATAAAAACTCGAGTTGATAGAGGATGGAGTGGAGCCGAGTGATCTGTGATTGAGTTCTCCGCCGCTGTAGCACTTGGCAACAAAAGAAAAGAAAAGTAATCTGTGTGTGAGTAACGTTCACTGATCACAGACTGTGAGTAACGTTCACTGATCAGAGTTGTGAGTACTGTGAAAGAAAGAGAGGGAAAAAGAAAGTATATTTTTTTTGTTTCAGTATAATGAGAGGAAGAGAAACAAAAATAATTGTTTTTGTGTTTACCCCGAGAGAGAGAGAGAGAGAGATGATATGATTTGACTTTTTAAATTTTTTGGTGGCTTTGATATGACTTTTCAGTTCTTTTTTTTATATATATATATTGTTAATTTTTTTTACAATATAAAATATTTGGGTTGAATTATGGGGCTAAAATAGTTGATTGGACTTATAAGGCTTTTTTTATATGAGTTATTTATAGTGTTTAAAAATTTGAGGCCTTCCTTTAAAATGGGGCCTAAAGCCTAGACTTTTTTAAACCTTCTTTTGGGCCAGCCCTGCTTGTTCGCAGGCGAGGTACCCTTGCGCGAGAAGAAGAGGGGTTATGTTTTTGGTTCTAAAAAATTGAGTAAATGTTCTGGTATTCTCTCAATTTGGGTCATTTTCAGTAAGTAACAAGGGGGTTTCTTAAATCTTTCGATGTATTTTAGTACATGTAAATTAAATATAGAACGACCAAAATAAGCAGATATAGGAATGTAGGGTCTTTTTGATTCTTTATGTTATAGAGTTCAACCAATTTAATTGCTGGGGCGAGGCGTGTTTTATAGATTTAACTAAAGAAGAGAAATTAAAGTATAAATACTAATCAATACAAATTTAAAATAAATCCTCTGATGTTTAAAATCGTTTCTTCTACAATGAAAAAAAAAGGCTTTTTTCTTCTCTTAAGTAAAAGAAAAAAAATGAATTTTAACCCAATAATATGTTTGGTCTTTGTGAGAACTACGTGAATCACTACACTACTTGATTCACATGGTTCTCGTTGGTTCATACAAAGGGTTTTTCATATTTTTAAATTTAAATTTGAGTTTAATTTTAAGTAAGAAGTAGAGATAACCTAACCTTACTAGATTGTTTGGCTCAGCTTGTTCGCTTGTAGAGTTCTTCGGATAGGCTCAGAGACTCTAATGACTTTTAAAGATTTTATTTAAGTTCAACTTGTTATTTTTTTTATCCATAGTGGGTTTGGCTCTTTTAATGTGATAGTTTAACCATGACTTCAGACTTGTGTTTAAAATCAAATTTGGCTTGTTTATATGTTATACCATGAGCTGATCAAGCCACTGTTCGGGTTGGTTCATTTGGTGAGTTAATGATCTTTTTTATCCAAGTTAGGAACCTTATATAATATAACAAGACCATATTCTATCTAATACTTCAACCAGCAATTTGAATTGCAAATAAAGTAAAATAACAGTTGAGATTAATCTAATCTTTATTTAATTTCATCAAACGGTGTAAAATTCATTCTAAACAATTTTTTTCTACTAAAAAATATACTTTTCTTTGCATGGCTTTCAAAATTTTTTTTTTGTACAATCAATATTCAATTGAAAGTAGCGTCTTCAAGTACGGGACTATTGCTAGTGTAGTGTTCACATATATGGACCTAATTGGAGCAGGACAACTAATCCAATTTGTTGCTGAACTCTCATATTCGCCAACGCATCCACATATTGGTTTCCTTCCGTAAGACTGTGGATGATCGGTATACCACTAGTTTCCATCAACTGCTTGCAGCTGGCTATGAGGGCCCTGCTTGGGTTGGTCTCCTCTTGGGGGATATTGAGGAGTCTCGCTGCGTCTAGTGAGTCCGTCTCCACTACCACATGGTTGATCCTCCTGCTTTGTATAAACTCCATTCCTATGAAAATGGTCCAGAGTTCGGTTTGAATGCTTGTATAGTGTCATTCAACCTTCCATAAAATCCAAGAATCCATTTGCCTAGGTCTTGCCTAAAGATTCCTCCCATTCCTGAGGGGCCAGGGTTTCCCTTCGGGCATCCTGGCTGGTTTTGTTAGTTGGGTTAGGTCTGGTCCATTGAAGGAATCACAAACTAGTAACTAAGCTTCCTTGACCACCAACTTATGATATGACTTGTTTATTAATGGAGTGACACCATATGACCCTTGTGATAAATAGGCCAAGTCTGGCGAAACGGGTCATTTGTGCCATACTCTTTGTAAAAACAATAAAAAAAAGTTGAGATATAATGAAAAAACATGTATTAAATGGATTCCACGAATTAAATTCGGATCATTCTTCTATTCATGTAGTAAACACAAGTTAGATTAAGAAGCGAAACACGACACTTTTGATAAACAAATTAACTGTGCCAAACCATTTATGACCCAAACACAATTAGCCTCAAACTCTAAACCCACCGACTTTTGTCGAGTTCCAATCATTTTAATGTATTGTGTTTAAAATTACTCCTTTTATCTCCCGAGACCTTGTGTGCAAGTCTTCCTTATGTACGTCCTACTTATGTTTTTCACAATTATAATTTTCTCAAGTTAATTTGACCAACATATATTAACATTAAATTGCATTAATGGTAGACAAGTAACAACTATGAAGGAATAATTCTTTATTTTATCTCAAGTTCCATGTAACTTCTAGACTAAGATGCTTTCAATGGCGTTAGGAGAGGGGTCGTATACGGTTAAACATATCATGTGTCATACTTTCAGGTAAAAAATATAAATAATGAAATATAACGGAAATCACGGGTTACATTTGAATTATACTTTCATTCGTGTGATAAATGAACACGTATAGAGTAAAAATTACAGTACGACGTTTTTAGTAAACAATTCTATTGTTGTTGAACCATTTATAGCCCAAACACAATTAGCCTCAAGTTAAACCCACTAACTTTGGTTAGGTTCAAGCCATTTTGATTTTATAGGGTTGACAATTACTCTTACTCTCTCCCAAAACCTTGTGTACACGCATTTCTCATATAATTCCCACTTGTGTTTCTTCCAATTACAATTTTTTCAAGTTAATTTGACCTGTATAAAATAAGATCAGATTGCACTAATTCTTTACAAGTAATGAATCTTTATTTGCTCTCAAGTTCCATGTAACTTCTAGACTGAGATGCTTTCAATGGCATTAGATCAAACACAGCAGGTTATAACTAGTTGTAGACTTTTTAGTTTGAAGGCTCCAAACCTCATCTTAGTGGTTAGAGTTATCCAAGAAACTCTTTATCGTTGAGTCCGAATACTCCGCAACACGTTGGAGAGCTTGTAGATTCCGCCCTAAGACTCCCATTCCCCTAGAGGTCCGAAGTTATCCGCACTCGCAGGACAACCTTCTTAAGCGGTAAGACAGACGGGCAAAAATCTCAATTGATTCTCTAAAAACAATACTTTGAATATCATGGTCAATGTAGTGAACATACTTATTCTTGTACATGATAACAAGACTAATATGTGGTCAAGCATATCCACAAAAAAATATATAACACGGAATTTCCAAGTAAATGCACCACACCATGTCAAAACTCTTTTTTACAAACAAACAACCTGCCTTGTATAAGAATCTATACCATACCCTAAACATCATCTTGATGATTAGAATTATCCGAGAAACTCCTAATCTTGCTTCGACTAATATAATCCTGGAACAAGATAATATAAAATATTATGGTCAATTAACATACTTATTCTTATGCAGGATTACAAGAATGATATCTGGTCAAGCATACCCACAAAATATATAACATGGAATTTCCAGGCAAATGCAACACACCAATAAGCTACCTTATATAAGAACCTATAACCTACTCCATTGTGATACCAAAAGCTCCATATCCGCCATCGAGATAGAACAATCCCAGGCATCATCCAACCCACACTTGGTCTCCAAAAAAAAATGGATCCAAACAACCCCAAAGACGCCAAACCAGTGCCCTTTCCTCCAGCTCCGGCTTCCTGTCCTGAGGGCCAGTGGTCTACTGACCTCTTTGATTGTTGGGATGATGGCTCTACTTGTAACTATTTGCAGCAAAATTGTCATTCTTCTATATTCCTTTATTTTAAGCTTACATTTTCTTGTTTGTAATGACTTTAATTTTCTGTGTTTTGAAGGTTGCTTGACTTGTGTTTGTCCATGCATAGCAATGGGGAGGATGGTAGAGATAATTGACAGAGGAACTACAAGTAAGCAAGCACCTAAACTATTAATTTTCTCATTGTAATTGCTAGATTATGTAGATAATATGTCACGCGTCGATTCCATACCAAAAGAGTTGGTTACATTTGAGTTTCCTATTTCCAATTATAAAGCTCGGCTCGTTTTCATTACATGTTTTCTCCATCTTTTACTATTTTTCTGTTGTTAAATATGTTCACAAATTCGGAATGACCAAAATGTAGCACCACCTTTGAGGCTGTGATAATCTAGACAAGATTCTATCTCGAAGACAAATATTATTTGTGACAACGTGGCAATCCATATCCAAATTACCATCTCCCATCACTGTACACAAAAAGAAAAAAATAAAAATGTATTCACGAAAATTGAACGATAGGATGTAGTGATATACAACTGATATACAAAACAACCAGGACCAGCTCGAGACCTTGGCTGGTGAGATGATTGCTCAATTTTTTTATAAAGCTTGATATTTTCAAGGATTCCAAAAGATTTGCCCAAAAAAAAAAAAAACCCATTTAGTAAAGAGAATGATCAAAAAGAGGAGAGAGCCTCCATTAATGAAAGAAAGACTCTCTCTGTCATTAATACAGTTAAGTTTAATAAGGTCTCATTCAATATTTTGGTAGATATTGGGCCAAGTGGGCCTCAGCAGGCCTGTTTCTGTCAGCTGGTCATGAGATTAAACCACCCGACCCATCACCAAAATTCGTAAAATTGCTATTAATCGGGCATTGCATTGCTTGCTCTTCAATGTGCAGCCCGTTGTGTTGCTTGTGCCCTCTACTATGCTCTTAGCTCTGTCGGCTGCGGATGGCTCTATGCGTGCACGTACCGATCAAAATTACGTGGGCTTTTTAAGCTACCAGAAGCTCCGTGTGTTGATGGTTTGGTTCATGGTTCCTGCTGCTTGTGTGCTATTTCTCAAGAGTACAGAGAACTCAAAAATCGCGGGGTTGATCCATCAATCGGTAAGCATTTTTGTCCCTACCCAAATTTAAGCCCACACACCCTCCAAAAAACCAAACATGTATAATAAGACCACAGTAAATGTAAGGCTGAGGAAATAGCCAATGGGCCATTAGGCTAATTCAGCCCGACAGCCCACCACTCGGCAACATGTGGTAGCCAATAACTCAACAGGGAGGATTATGGGCCATATTTTTTGGTCCGACTAAGACATTTAAAGACAATCCATCGGGGTAGTCGAATGGGCCCCCATCTATCCAATTAATTTTTTTTAAATAAACATTTATTCTAAAAATTTAAATTGTTAGAATAAGTGTAATTTAAATATTTATACTTCAACACTCCCCTCACGTACAAGAAGGTTGATATGCAAGTATTTAACTTAACTATTTATACATATAACTTAAGTATAGTATGTGATGATTGATATGCAAGGTTGGGAAGCCAACGTTGAGAAATGGAAACGGGAAGGAGTTACCTCGCCACCCATTGCTGCTGCACCAGGCATGGCTCGTTAGCTGCAATCAAACTAAAGTGCACACTAAAAAGTGCTTCGAAAGGCGTCGACTAGGGTTGTTGCTTGTATCTCCTTGCTTCTTGTAATGTGTGTTTATGTGATTTGATGAGTATTTTTGATTTGTTTGCATGACATTATGGGCTTGTATTATTGTATGCCTTTTCAGCATATTGTATGAATAATATTAGTTCCCAATTTTAACCATCTCACAGTTCAAAAAAAAAAAAAATCTCTCTCTCTCTTTCTCTCTCACACACACACACACATACAGAGTTAGTACTTGTATGATGACCCTTTGATCAAATGCTGTATCTCATAACGATAAAGAGTGATTGATAGTCGGGTTTGATACAACATGGGACAATGGGGGATTGGGGATATGTTGGACTCCCTGATCTTGATTGGGGTACCCAAAAAAAAATAGATAAATTACAAATTACATCAATATAGTTTTAAAACCTACACATAACCTCCTAACATTTTGGATGGAGCCAAAAATGCACGTGCCTGAAAACGAGTAGAGAAAAAAACCAAACGGTTCAATTTCGAGAATAACCTCCAAAAAATATTCAAAAGGGTGTCCTCAGTTGACCATTTGCTAGTCTGGGCCTATACATAATTTTGACAAAGGCTTTCATATTATGTATGAGATCTGACTGCCCAATTCATTAGTCAATGTTCTAGAGGTTCACAGTAATTTTGATGCCACAATTTGGTGTTTAGCGTCTATTCCAAGGGCAAAACAAGTTGATTTTCTAAACGAGTATAAATTCAGTTGTTATGAATTTGAATTTTAATAATTTTTTGGGATTAAGTCACGAGAGATTGATCCCTAATGAGAGGGTTGATAATCGAACCGAGCTTTGCGATCTCGAGCCCGAGCCGAGCCTGTCGAGTTCGTTTTCTAAAGCCGAATCCAACCTGAAGCGGAGTAGTTTAACTATTTTACATATAAACAAACTGAGTATTACGAGTTCGCGCTGAGCTTTTTAGACTTATTTTTTAAAAAAATCTAAAAAATTGTTCAAATTCAGCTCGTTTAAAACACGAGCCAAGTTTGAGTTGAGTCCTACCTGAGTTAAGCTCGCATTGAGCCCGAGTAGCTCTACTCAAGTATCAACCTTTCATGAATATCCTAGTCCCGACGTGAATGACTTGTGTTTAACTGAATTAAAAAGAAGATTAGTTGATGTGCGTTTAAGTTGGACCGAACTTCCCTTACAGTTGAAACCCAAAAAAAAAAAAACAGCCAATTTTTTTTTGACCACCACTCAATATATTAATCATTGAAAAGAGTCACATCCACTTATAACTAACTCCAAACTATAAGTCCCCCTTATAAAAAACTAATGGGGAAAAAGCCAATCAAGGAGTAAAAAAATAAACAGGGAAATTTAAATAGAGACATGTGCTAAGGTACAAAACTAGGCATATTTTTGGACTTGGATCCATGGTGAAAACTCACCAAACTAGCTTCCACAGACCTGAGAACATTGACCATATAACAGTGATTTCTTCTATATAATCTCAAACCATGTGGTCAAAAACCCAAGTGTTCAATTCAGTTCAAGATCTCATGGACTTCCATTACAGCCTTGAGCACAACATGGACATGATGGATACAGTCCCTCGTCTTGAATTCGAGGGGGATGAGGATGATGTTTTCTATGCTGAACTTCGAAGGCAGATTTTGCTATTGACAGGAGATGATGAGGATGGTGATGATGATTATTTTCAGCGTAGAATGAAACATTCAAACGCCGCGAGGAACATGAGAAGGCCAAATTTGTGCAGCGCTGCTGCAAATCTACCAGGAGGTTATTTCAATTGGTCAGAGAATGAGAATAATAATTCAGTACCTGCCTGGCTTTCGAATTTGTGGAGATCGAATGGTACAGGAACTGGTGTGTTCATACCTCATGTTGTGAAATCCAGCAGAAGAAGTAAGCGCTATTCATTGATTGATCATGACATTTCTTTCTTTTAATTCTAATGGGGGTGTTACGTTTTTTCATTGTTTTGATTGTTATTCTCAATGGTGGCTTTGCAGGAAGAAAGAACAATGACAAAGGAAGAATGTATAAACCAGTGGCAATCAAGAATGTATAAACAGATTTGTAAAATTGTACACAAGTTTTGCTAAGTGTAATATATACTGAAAATATATAATAGATTGGCCATTGATTGCAATCGATAAAGGTTGGCTCTGTCTTTAACCTCTTTAGCATTTGCAATTCATAGTATTGTCGACTATTGCTTTTATATTATGCTCATGTAGGGTTCAAATGCATTACCCCCTTGCGTAGCGGTCAATTAACTTTTAAGTTAGCCATTTGAAACCCACCCAGAAAAATTTAGCGGCGGTGGTGGTGGTGGCTAGGTGAAGGCGGAGGGAAAGGTCATTTAAACTCTAGAGAAACATGGTGGTTGAGAGAGGGAATCTCGCAAATTAATTCCCATTTGAAGTTGAAAGATTTTGGAAATTGGAGTTCTGGGTCATCTGTAAAACCCGATAAAAAAAATATTATTATTATTATTAAAATTCTAATAAAAAGGGTAAAATAATAATTAATTGTTAAATTATGGGTCAAAAATGTAAATTTAAAAAAAATAATAATATATATATATATAAGTGGAAGACTTTGTCTTCCACTTTTTATGTTTTCTACAGCCGGCGACACAGAGAGAGTGAAAAAAAAAATGAATTTTTATTTTTTTTCTCTTTTCTTCCTTCTCAGATCTAGGAAAATTTAACCGTTTAATCGCTTCGGGCCAAGAACTAAAGTTGCTCTACTCAGCGAGAGCTACGCAACCACACCAAATATCGTATTTTTCTTCGAAGGTATATCAAAGCCGATAATCTAGACCTAAAACTTAGGAAGCTAAATTTGGGTTTCCTTGGCGTTCTAGTAAGTGGTCTCACGCTACGAGAGGTAGGGTTTCCCCTATTTAGATTTAATTTCAACTTAAAATATGACATATGGAATGAGTAGATTATGAGTGTATATCACATGTTAGGTCTTGACTAGTGGGTCAAATATAGAATTTATAATTAATCTTGTGATTAATAAAATTCTATTGTGATTAACTTGGTATAAGTTAATGTTAGTAGTTTAAAGCATGTTAATTGTATGTTAGCATTACTTTATATTTTAATGGCAGATCAAGTTTAATAAAATTATTAACTTGTTATATGATTGTGAAATAATATATATATGTTAAATGATTATTTAACATATGATTATTTTGGTGGACTTTGTGCTTATGTTAAACATGTTATCATGTTGTAAGTCATAGTATGCTAGTTGTGTAAATTGATGTGCTCTTTAGGTGTTTGATTAAATGCCTAGGTGAATACAAGTATGTTAGTTGAGTTGATTATCTTACATAACATGCTTGAGATCGTGTTAAAATGTCATTACATTGTATTTCATTATGAATGGGTTGCACTACATTCATGGGCATTGACATGGGTGAGAGTGTATGCATGGTATGAAATCAATCACCACGTAGGTGGTTGAACGTGGACTCGGAAAAGTCGCACCAAGGTTTGGTTGAGTCGCACGAGAAATTAAATGGATAAATGTGTTGGGGACAGCACGAAGGGCTAGATTCTCCCTCGGGTGCAAGACCCGCTTACTTGGTTTATACACTTTCCGGCGGTGGAATTCCAAAAAAGTGTAACGGTAGAAACGGAGCCGCAGGTGGGATGTCCTGAAGATCCGTTGATGGTTGGTGTCCCATTGGTGTAATACCATAAATCATCTCCCCACAAAGACACAAGAAAATAAATTAATTAGCATTGAGTGTACATAACACCAATGATGGGGACTTGGAATGCTCGGATACATACGCATGACATTGCATGTGTTATGGGAGCTCAGGATGGGGCTCGGGGTTGGTATTGCTTGCGTGAGTCTCATCTCATGGCATGACATGATCTATAACATTCAATCATAATAGACATATTTAAATGAATGTATCAAATGATTGTTGCATGTGACATTCCATATTCATTTAGGTTGAAAGGTATTCTCTATAGGAGTTACCCTATTGAGCGTTAGCTCACCCTTAATGGGAACATTTTTCAGGTATCGCACAGGTTTCCACCGAAGGCGAGGCTATGGGCCTGCTTTGACGACAGAGCCGGTCTGTGGCTTTTATTTTGACATTGTAGTCCATTGTTTATACTTACTTTTGGCCTTGTATAATTTTTGTAACAAACATTGTTTATATTTACAAAGGCATGTATATGAGACTCTTTTGGAACATTTATTCTTTTACGAATAAATGTATGTATTGATAATGATTATGGTAGTATTTGAGACTATACAATTGTGAATGGATAGATAGACCCGGTGTGGTCAATGTTGTACAGGTTGCGTTTTGAGTAGAGCTCCTTGTACAAAGGAGACTCTGTCCAAATTTTGTTAAGTTATGGATTCCAAGAAATGGGGCATAACGGTGTGGTATCAAATTACACGATATCCACCAGTATTACACAGGTCGATGGATAATCAATCGAATAATTACACACTCGAACTTTGGGATGTCACATCATCGGATATGATTGTATTAATGTCCACAAATGATAGTTTTCTTGTGGATGTGACACTTTAAGCTAATAGATTAACTTCTATGCTTCATCTTTCCGGCCAAAATATCCTCCAAGAAACCATTCTTGATCAGATTAGTTATTAATGATCGACTTAATTAGTACTCTATTTGGTATGTGTAGCGAACATATTTATTTTTACTGTCTCATCTTCTCTAAAGAAACAAAACTCGAACGGAGATGGTCTAAATACATGACTTTTTCTTTTTCATTACTTCCACGGTCATGCCTCAAGGCATAGCAGCACCCGTACTATTGTAAATTATTTAAGTGTTATGAACTAATCATTTGAAGCTACTATTTCTTGAACCATTCTTGCACTGAAAAACACAGACTAGAACTTAAAAATCACAGAGAGAGAGAGAGAGAGAGAGGGGGGGGGGGGGGGGGGGAAGGGGGGGGGGGGGGAGAGGAAGAGAGCACTGAAACCACCAACCCAAAGTCCCCTCATAAACTCCAATTCAATACCAGCTTACTAAGGGCCAGTGTTTTAGTGATCTTTGTGGTTATTGCCATGATCCCCCTAATTGTAATTGCCTCCCCTGGATTACCATGAGGCAGATCCCTATGTGTTAAAATAAAGGGTCACTTTACCTCTATTGGGTGACTAACAAATATACAAATTGTAGATACTTTTTTGATGCGTTAGTATTAGAGTTGTCTTGTATTAGTCTATGTGTTAGTATAAGAGTTGTCTTGTATTAGTCACGTCTTGTTTCAGTAGCCTCGGTTATTATAAGATTATAAGTAAACAAAGTTGCTATAGTTTGAAGAAAATATTAGTCAAAGAGGTGAGACCCATATGCCACAAAAAGAAAAAGAGAATATGACACATTTAGTGTAACAATCTCTGTATATTTAAATTGTTGATATTGCAGCTATTTTGGCACAACAATTCCATGGGTGACAAAATACTTAGATCTGCTTGTTTGAATAATCAAATTGTAGAGAGTTGTTCATAGAACTAAGATGTGGGGAGTGGTCATTGACGTGCAAGGTTTAGAAGCCATTGTATAGAAACGGTGTTAGCCCTAGGTTTAGGCCGGTGAGAGGTCTCTCTAGTAGCCCAATGGACAAGTCTCCCACTACTACGAGATGTGGAGAGGAATAGATCTACGCAGTTTTATCCCGTATGTGGAGAGACTATTTTCGTAGCTCGAACTCTAACATCTAGATCATAATAAAGTAACTTATCATTGCGCCAAAACTCACCTTCTAAATTTTCAAAATATATAAAATAACATAAGATAAAGACCCACAGAGATTTTATAATGTTATGTAAGATCCCATTTAGAAAAATAAATAGTGATGCTCTTTCTCATGAAGGTGTGCGTTAGTTGATTCGGATACTAGATAATACAAAAAAAAAAAAAATTATCTCTGACTGTTTGATGACTATACTTTTCAAGACCCAATTTATCAGTCAACTTTGGATACTAGTAATTGGTGTTTTATGTATTGTTTAATGAAAACAAAAACAAGCTAATTCAGTATAATTAAGGGTTTAAATATTATCTGTTGACAATGTTGAATGATAAATGACAACAGCAGTCACACACCTCTGTTCTGTCCCCTATAATCCAAGGAGGAAGAACAAACACATCCATCCACTGGATAACTGTACAAGTAGGTAGGTACCTACTATTCCAAAAATGAAAATAAAGCTTAATGAAGTACTAATTAATGAAGAAACTTAAGTATAGACAGTTACTAAAGAACAAACTAGTCATTATGCTTTTGAATTTGAATCCACTTGGAGAATTCCCACCAAACCAACTTCCATGGATATGGATCATTGACCCTTTACAAATTTCTTTCATGTGAATCCTCTATATGATCTTCAAACCATATATAGTTGAATATCGGGTCATGGACCTGAACCAAGGCGCCCAAGATGGGTTGACCCAATTATGGAATGCCTAAGTGACATAATTTTGGAGCTGGATACATTCGGTGAGAAAATCCTACAAGGACCACACTCTTATCCTGCAACTTCTGCAGGACAACTTCACATTGTGGACCTCTGACCCCGCTCCTCCCTCTCCTCTCTGTGGCACGCCACACGGGTGCACATTGGTGCTTCTTCTTTCTGTTGTCATAAGCTCATGAACATGGGTTAAACCAATACTAGGCTTGCTATGTATTGCGTATGTATTCGCAATTTTGAGTATCTTTATCATGTGTGACATGATACTTGTGCTGGAGATTGTGTATAAATTCTGGATCTTGTTCAACCACTGTTAGTTGAAGCATACCATACAATTTATAAGCCTCTTTCCCCAGTTATGCTTTTTCTGAGTGCACTTTTGTTTGTGAATTTTTTTTCCTTGTTTTTACGAGGAATCATCCCCATCTTTGCGAGTTTTAGACTTATGGCTACAATACAAGCTTCAGTTAGTTTACACACAGCCACTCACAAACCATAAGTTTCTATCAAATTCCACGAGCCGAACAAGACATTGTTTAACCTCCGTTCATATTGTTAAACAAAGATTGAACTTGAGTTCCGTACATATATAAAAGAACGGACTTGAATGAGCTCTAATACGAGCTGATTCTGAACTGTTCATGAACAACTGAGTTCATTTGTGGCCTCAATTGTAACTCCCTCCTGGTTTAATGAACACAAACTGTAGCTATGTTTCATGCTAGAGTTATTCAATTAATTCTCTATCTTTCCTTAGATTAAGGTATTTGTCCCACATGCCACACCCATCCTACCTAACGAATGACCACTTCTTCTTGTGATGAACACTTTAAAAACTCTACCTCAAAGCATATGATATTTAGGATGTTAAAAGCAAAGCACAAACCCAACCAGATAAAACAGGGAGAAGCCCTTTTATATATTTGGATGGATAAATTACAATGTAACATTTTACATTGCACGTCTTGTGAACCTGGGTGAATTTCAAACAGAGATTGTTCCTTGCAAGTGAAGATCAACCCTGCTACGGGTCAATACTTCCCTCGCTCGTGCACTTCTATGTTGTAGACGTTGGTGTAGTGTCTCAGAGATCTGGTTGAAGAATTCTGCATCCCATCTATGTATTAACAACGGGTCTTCCGCATAACAGATGTATATAGATGTAACGGCACTTTCCACCACGACCATTGCCAATCCGACCTGAGAATCAGATATATCAGACCAGTACAACAGAGAAGAAATCAAGTAATACCATCCTTTTGAGCTGATGTTCTTGATGCATTCTACTTCAAATTTCATATCATGCCAAATTTCTGAATCATCGGTCCTTACCAAAGATAACCAATTACGGGCGAGTCACAAATGAAGGATTGTTGTGGAAGGTGGGGGACTTCTAGCTCCTTTATGCAAATAGTGTCCAGCCCACCATCCCCAACTACAAGGAAAGATCAGGCCAAGATTTCTGAAGACAAACATTCTTAGTAGTTTTACTTTCTCCCTTGGTTTGCGAGGGAGTTGGGTGTTGTCATCTTAGGTTGTATTGTGTTCTTACTAAAAAAGGCGAAGTTCTTATTCCTAAAACCTTGAGACGTGAGAGCATGCATCTTTTAGATTGGGAATAGGGAATGTTGTAAGCAACTCTCTTAGGGCATGCCTAATTTGTTCTTGATGCGAGTTTTGAATTTTATTGTATATTTTTGTTTTCTGAATTATTTTCTTAGCTTACCAAGAAAAAAAAATCATAGGCAGGTCTAAAATTGGTAGATTTATTTTGGAAACCAACTTATTATAGGACATAAATGACCTCTAGAGTAAGTAAGGAAAACTAAAAATCATCCATCATTACCAAGATCATTCCCATCAACATGGCAGTAGACCCCACCATAATCACTCTGTCAGGATATTTAATCCTTGTCCAAACTCCAGCACATGTTCCAGTGATAAGCCCACCCAAAAGAGTACCCATCAGGAGGACAGCACCCGAACAATCGTAAGCAATGAGTGCTTCTACACCAGTTGACTGGAATAATTCCCAAGCATCTCTAGCTGAGTGATTAAAGTTTTTCCCATAAACTGCAATCTGAGGCACAAAAAGTTTGCTATATACTGTCACTGCATGTCTAATAAAACAAGTTGTAACAAAATGAATAGCAAGCGAAAAATAACTCAAGCACTGCATGTTTATAAGAAAAATCATCCTTCATTTTACAGAATTGTGTTGTATGTCTCAAGCACGGTGGTTGTAGATAATGAGTCCATCTTTTGATTAAGACAATGCCCATTTTTCAGTTCAATATTATATACGCTAATGAAACAAGATAGCTCTACAAAATAAATGGCTGTTTAGTGATTGGGTTCTGGGTATCAGACTTTCAAGTCAGCATTTTAGATCCATAGTTTTATCATGCATTTTGTTAGATTGATTAGTTTTCTTGACAGTTTTTCATATTATCCATGGCCTGAACTATTAATTTATGGAGGGTAAATCATCAGATTCATTATGAAATACAGGAACAAAGAAACATGGTCGGATAAAACAAAGAACGAAGCCAGTTATGAGCAATTTGTTTTTTTAAATAAGAGAAAGGTAACCAATCTAGCATCAACAAAAATAACTGATTAGTTCCTCTCCTGAAACCAATTTACTGCTCATCTTAATGATGTTTATTTATTAATTAATTTTCCATTACATTCAAAACCATGGACCAATTTTACACTCATCATATCATTTAAGTAACATCTTAATCACAGAAACAAATGTGTTCTATGTTCATTTTGAAGGCAATAAGCATTCATGCCGCAATATCCATAGAGAAAAAGTCAAATCGTGGATAAGTACAATTAAAACTCCTCTATCAAAGTGACGGCCATTAAAAGAAATGTGAACCATCGGTGTAATAGAAGAATTGGGTATGCTTACGGAAAGAATTGAAATGTTAAATTTCTGTGAAGAAAGTGAACATCCAATTAAAACTGCATATGCAATGGAATATACATGGGAAGGTCAAAAAAGGGCTTAGATCAACAATTCTCTAACAGCCACACCAGCAGAAGTAGCTCCCCTCCCCCCACTTTCTCTTTTGTTTCCCTTGTGTTCACTTGAAGTAATTATCACAATGCCATGTTCCACCAGCATTATTACTATAAATCACAGAGTATGAACCAGTAATGTTGAGCAAATAGTTTCTCACCCTCCGATTCTAAACATATTAATAATAATGCTCAAAAGTGAAAGGTCACTAGAATCTGATTAAGGAACCATAGCAAAAATTGCTACTAGTGAAAATTACAACAACGATAAAGAACTACCTGGACATAGGCATACTTGTTAAAAAACCGAACAAGAGTCTCCACCAGATGAAAAAGGAAATCAACACAGCATAGCAAACATTCGTTGCCGCAAATCTTTGACCTGAATCCCCTTATCTAAACATAATGAATTTGACTAAATTTTAATCATGTATATGCAACCACAACATGGATCAACTGTATAGTAAAGATAATGTTTGTCATGAAAGCAAACAGCAGTTTATCTACCTCCCACCGCAATGTCCGAATAGCAGCTGTAAAGAGTGATCCATAACAGATGCTGCCAAAAGAGGTTGTCACAGCATACCGCAGAGACTTCATCAATGGGTTGGGAGGCATTGACACAGCTTGTCGGCCATCATGGATGAGAACAAGAAACACCATTCCAGAGACTATAACATGAACAGTATTACAAAGAACAGCACCCGTCCAAAACAAACTTACACAGAACACCTGGATGTACAAAAAACATCATTGGCTCTAGCACATTATGGCATGGTTTAATGGCTTACTAATTCCAACAAAAGATGTAATGAACAGAAAAACTTGCCAGCTCACCCCAAGAAGCCACCATCGTCCACCATCACCCAAGCTTGATGCTACAACACCAGCAGCTCCAAAGGACCATAGAACTAGCCATAAAAGCATGACTAACATGAATGCACATGCTACTCTCATAACTTCAGGAAGATTCCATACCATCTTCACAGCCTTTTGCAGCACCAGCATGGTAAACGGAAGTCTGCAGATAAAATATACATTCAGGAAAAACTAAAAGCACTAGATTAACATATAAAACCAGACATTATCATAGGATCACAAACTGAAAGTGTTCCTGAAAAGACACAAAGTGCACCCTGTGAAATATTGAAACGAGAGAGGGGGAAATGGACCAGTTTTCATCTCTGTTACACGTTCATATCAAAGGTATATATGCATATACATACACACTCATACATACATACAAATATATATATACATATGCATGTATTCCATGAGAGTTGAGAATTCCAGAATGATTGTGGGATTGTTTCGGACAATGCCATAAAAGAACTAGGAGCCTCAACATCCCCCAGGGGAATGGGGGAATTGAATTGAAAATTTCGAATTGTGTTTCGAAAAACCAATCACTCATCCAATAAAGGAAATTAAATAAACCAGCAGAAGCATACAGTATTTCAATTCAAAAAATTCAAAATATAGCCAAACAGTGAAGCACCAAGAAGTTGCAATCTACAAATTACAAGTTTTGTACAAGAATATTAAAGCTTGTGGTTTTTCCTCAAAACTGTAGATAAGAAATGATCCATAACATGTTTGGCAGAGTGCAAAAAGATTAAAAATTGGGGGAAAAAAATCAAATAACTAGGTTGAGAAAGTGATTTCAAACTTCTTCCACAAATTTTACTTTATACAAACCATCTTCAATAGCACTTGATAACTTCATTCTTCTTTAGAGCCCCTATTTGACAACGGTGCTAGACACAGCTATGCCTACGCGACGATGGCCCCATACCCTCAGAAGGGTATGGGAGACAACCAAAACTCGCCGTGTTATCAAAAGGTCATTCCTTACTCCATTCTTCACAACAGCAAGGGCATCCCTGTACTCCATTCCTAACTAAGGTCAGGAATGACGGGATGAAAAAAATCAACTCCTTCCTCAGAACTCTATTCCGATAATCTCTTTCTTAAACTTAAAACGGACCTAATTGTTCTACTACTCACCATCAATCACATGTAAGTCTTATTTAAAGCCTTCTTTGTGAAGACCTTTAAAATCAACAAAGTGTAAAATTAGGATCATGGTAAGCCAATGCGCGTCTACAGACTTTAAGAGTATTTACTAGCAGTCAAAGAAGCAACAAATTGCCCGAACTCTGTAGTTTGGTTGGGGGGAGGAGGAAAAACTACAGATATAAGCTTACTGATAAAAGCTGAAAGGCAACCAAAATGTTTGTAAACTAATTGAAAAATTAACAACAACAACAAAGGAAAAAATAGGCAGACAGAAAAAGAAGACCGAAGTAAGAGTGCACCATCATCTATGGTAAGTTCCACAATCCCACAACAATCACATCTGCTACAAAATGGATCTAGGGTCCAACAAATGGAACAATGTTTTTAGTCATACGTGGACATACCTAATTTTTGGCTTAACATTTGTGTCGCTTTTGATAATTTCTAGTGCACAATATAAATATGACCTATTTCCATTTATGCTGATGCATTTGTACTTAAAAATTCAAATTTTCCCAAGAAACATTTTATGACAAGGCTTAACTTTAAAAAAGCTACTCCCAGTTGATAAAAAAAGATTGATATCCCTAAAACTGGTCTCAGAAAAGGATTCCTTGTAGAAGAATTAGATATTTAAATATTTATCTCACGTGAAGCATGAAAACCTGGGGAGGGTGGACCGTTCTCATATACAGAGCCATATGTTAAACTTCAAAAACTGGGCCTCGGTTTGGCAACTTGTAAGTGGGACCATTTTCTTTTTTTAATCAGTTAAGTTCTAAATGATTGTTGTTTAAGGATTTATAGTCCTAAAAGTCGACTTTCATTCAAACTATAAGCATTCAAGAAATAGGCCTAATTTCCAGAAGCTTGACTGCTTGAACACTCAAACTCTATGCCTGTTAAAAATATATATCATGCTTTCAATAGCAAGAAGTTAAAATAACCATAACAAAATTTACTTATTAATCCTAAGTTGAACTTCTAAACTTTTCACTTGTAAAAGTATGACAGTACACCTTATGTGACATGGTCACTCCAACCGTCACCAGACCACAAAGATAAACTCTGGTAGACAGACATTAAAAAAAGGCTCAAACATGTTACCTGTCTACGACCGATATGACGTACAAGAACTGCAAAGCAGCACCAACAGCAAACGCAACACCCCAGAAGAACTGCTCACTCCAAAAGCACAACACACTAATAACAGCGAGATAAGTGGTCAATATGTGCACAGAAACCTTCATCATCTGATTCGCTTTTGAACCAAGCAACAACAACCAAGTCCACCCAAGAAGTGACCCGACTCCACAGGCAACAGCATACAAGGGCCAATAATTCTCAGTTAATCCCGCTTGATTCTCAAGAAATCCAGTCGTGTACCTATCAATGTTAAGCCTGTCCTCTTCCTTAAATCTATTAAAACCCAGTGCCCCAAGAGTAAGACCTAGCACAATCAAATGCAACACAAATATACCTAGCCAGAACACATCCCGCCAATGGCGTGTAGCCTCTAGAGCCAAACCCGGAGACAGTGAATTACTACCAGCTGCACTTAGCCGGCTCCGCCCGACGTTCTACAGTTCAATACACATGGATGTGAGATAAACAAAAATCTTAGACGCTGGAATTAGTTAATAATGGATTGATTTAAGTGACTTTCTTTTGTTTCAATGAAAGACTCAGAGTAAACCTGATATTCTATAATTCAACATATAGGCAACTAGATTCAGAAAACAGTACCTAAACCTCTGTCTATATGTGTGCGTGCACACGTTACATATGTACGTATGTATATAGATTGATTAAATCTCTTCTTTTTTTTTTCTTTCTGTAACGAAATAATCAAGTTCAAAATTTAATTGCAATTCATGATGGATTAAACTAACGCAACTAATTCATATACTAACTAAGTAAGCATAACATTCTACAATTCAATCCACCACCAGACCGTTAGATACACAAATTTCTTTTACAAAAAACATGCTTATGCATGTGTGTGCGTCTATATATATATACTTTTAAGCATAAATATATCGATTTTTTTTTTTAATTTTAGCGACTGAATTGAAGTGAAGATAGTGATTGATTTGTGTAACAATAGATTCAACGCTAACAAGGGCAACAAAATAACAACTTTCAACATATGCATATAATTGTGCATATGTCATATGATAAACATGGGCTATTGCATAAAAGCCATGATTGATGCGAAGTGAAGAGTAGTGGATGATGATAAGCTTCATATTACCGGTTGACCGGTGGCGACAGAACCAGAATCATCGGAGGAAGAAACGCTTTGAGAGTCGCTCATGGTATGATTGCAATTGATCGGACGGTGAGGATTGACTTGCAGAAGAAAATTAGCATCAGTCACAGAGAGAGAGAGAGAGGTTGAAGGGTCAATACAAGTCAATTTAGGGTTTAGAATGGACCATCGACAGAGGATCTGTTTGGGAGATTCGGAAAAGAAACGAAATGAAATGGACTGGAAAAAAAAACTGAATCTCAACGGCTATGAGGATATAATGTTAGAGAGAGAGAGAGAGACGTATTGCCTTCATGATTTGCCAGGTAATTGCCAACGATTTGTGATTTGGAATGCGATGCTCTTAATTTCAATAGGGAGAATGACGCTTTGTCCCTTAAAAAATCTTTAACTTCCACGAATAACCCAAAAATTGCTCAACCGGTAAGAGACGAGCTATAAATTCAAACGTTTTAAGTTTGAATTTTGATAATTTTTTGGGTCAGGCCATGAGGGATTTATCCCTCATAATATCCTAATTCTGGTGTGGATGACATTTGACTGAATCGATGAGAAAATTAATTGACATGCGCATAAATTTTTTTGAATACTTCTGACCATTGAACAAAAATAATAATAATAATAATAATAATAACTCACATGAATATGTTGAACTCAATTTAACAATTTTGTTAAAATGTTTTGCTACTTTTTTATTTAATCGAGGGTGGAATATAGATATTTTAATTTTTTATAGTGTAAATTGAGAATTTAAAAATATTTTTTGGTACAAAGTGTGATTTGTTCATTTCAATATCTGTCCAATTTTAAACTTTTCACTTTTGCTCCTTTAAAAAGATTCAATATGTACTTTAGTGCACACTAAATTTATCTATATTGCATTAATGTGCCCGTTTCTATTATAATTTGGAGCATAAGCTATAAAAAAAATTACATTTCTCTCATCTAAATTATGTTAGTAAACTCCCCTCAAACTCTCATCTTATAAGATTCAACCCCATTAGACCCAATTCTATGTTCCATTGGCTTCTTAACTTGCAATTGGAACGTATGAAACTAAATTATCATTGAGGTGCATGAAGGCATGTGAACGAATCGGTCGAATTTCATCAAAAATTTGAACGTAAAATTACCGTCGTACCTGATTTAGATATCCAATGATCCAAATTTTCACGGTTTCATCCGAACTTGGAATTTCAAAAAATTGATCTCACACTTATAAATTTTAGTGAACTAGATATTTGAATTTAGTTCGATTTCATAAGCTAATCATTCAATTTCTTCATATGTCTATACACATACCTAATTGGAAATTGAATAATAGTGTATCCAAATTTGAATTTGTGAACATTTTTTTTTTGTTTTTTGGTTTCAATGATTAGGGTTTCTGGACCAATTTATATGTATCTTGATTAATTCATTCATCGATTCAGTCAAAGACAGACGATCTACATCGAATTTGTCAATATATGACATAACAAATTGGCACATTTTCAAACTTGACAACAAGAAGGCCGGCTGAAATATTAACCAAGCGATCAATTCATTTTGGGGTTTTTATAGTTCTTTTCCTTGTACTATATATGCATATCCTTTTTCTTGTCCATTTTCTACATGCTTTACTAGTTCATAGGTTGTGACTCTTTCCAAGTGGAGATCAGATTCTTCGCTGCCGAAGCATTGAGCAACATGCTACCTTAGCTGTTGCAACCCCAATGTCGCCACTTTGTAGTTCTCATTTTGGTCGGTAACCGACAATATGAAGTCATATAACAGTGATATTACGTTAATATTATTATGTAGTATTATTATTTAATAATACATTAACAAATAAATAAATAGATTCTATACAATTCAATAACTACCCTTTTCGGTAAAATAATAACCCTTTATGTAAGATTATAAATACCTATATTTAAAAAAGTGAGATTTATCTTATCTATTTGATAGTTTATTATGAGATGATAATACCACGTAACAATATTGACGTGATATTACTATTACACTGAATATTCACTTGGTGGGTGGGGGGTGGGGGGGGGGGTTGATGTGGTGAATGGTAGAAAGGGTGGAGTTGTGATGGCTGAGTGCACATTATTAGATAAGTTTTTATGTTACATCTTTTTATATCAATTTAAAATTTTTAAATGAATTAGTGATTTATGGTCCGCCCGGTAGAAATGATGGAAAAATGAGAAGAAAAAAAATTGGAAGGAAATAACCCTTGAGGAAAGAAATAATTTTTTTTCTTTTTTGTTTGGTATGATGAATTGAAAGGATAAATTTTTTGTTGTTCGGTATTAAAAGAAACATGGAAGTAAAGAAAAGTGTATCAAACTTAAATTTACCATTCTACCCCTCTACTAGGTGGAATTTTGTACACACAACTCAAATGAAAAAATTAATTATTTTCAACTCATCTCAAGCACACATGACCAACACAATATTTTAACTCTTATCTGCCACGTGGCAATATGGCCAACCTGGACAGAAATACATACCTTGTTATGTGTCTTGCTTGTTGAAGGTTGGGCCCACTTGTTGCAAAAGAAGCAAAGAGGTAAAATGGTAAAAGTCCATGCCATGCAAAAACAGTTGCTCCGCTCTCTCTTTTTTTCCGCCCCTGTTTGGGAGGAAAAGTATTGGTGGGGGAAGGGAAAGACAATCCTCCCCAATCCCACTCCATCTTATTTTCCCCTCGTACCAAACGGTAGAAATTTTTTCTATCTATATTATGTTCCTCTCTTCATTTCATCTACTCTGTTTTCGTCTCTACCAAAAAGACTATTAGCGTGATATCAAAACTTATATAATTCATTAAGAAAAAAAATTAAATAAAAAATATATGGGAGGGAATTGGTGAAGGTTTAACTAGAATGTCTAATCTTAACTTTAAATGGTAACGTTAGTAGTAACAGTGACAAACTGTAAATTCAAACGTTTTGAATTTGAGTTTTGACAACTCTTTAAAGTCAGGTCATGAGGAATATAATTTTTTCATAAATATTTTAATTCTAATATAGATGGTCTGTTTTTTTCAAATCTTAAAAAGAATTAATCGAGTTATATAAAAAAAACAAGAAAAAACAAAAAAGAGAGTGTCTAATCTTTGAACAGGGGAATGTCTAAATCTTTGTGAAGGGAAAAAATGATGATGTCATTGATGTTGTATTCAATGAAGCCTTCTATGGTTATCGAGGAAATTACGCTTTAATTAAATAGAGAATAATTTGTCTTTTGCACCACAAGACCACGTTGAACATCATATAACGTGAGTATAGGTAAATTTATATCAAGCAATTTCTGTCATGTCAGAGCAGCCAGCAAGTTGGTTTTGTTGAATAACTTGAAGAATTGTAACTAATACTAAGAATCAGATGCTAACGACACAAAGTAAGAAACTATCTTTATAAGAATTCACAAATAATATATCAAAAAATAAAAAATATATGAAAAAAGTGATACTCAATTCTCAAACTGATTTGCAATGCAAAATTAGAAATTAATGTTTGATATATAGTAACCCGACCTCTTCATTTATTCTTGTAAAAAAGTCGTCACTTTTATGTTTTTTTTTTTTTTTTGTGTGTGTTTCAAATATATATGTAGATAGGTCATACTATATATTCGTTAAGGAGTATTGCCCCTCAGTTAGCTACAAAAAATCTCACTACATCTACGTCGGGGCCGAAAGTAAGGCCCCACTGTGTGCTCTGAGCGTGAAGAGTAGATTTAACCCTAACAAGTTGTCGTAACTATGAAAACTCAAATTTAATTATTAAACGAAAAATTCATGTTCTTATCATTTGGACCAATCCCTCATTGGTATTTTTATCTTATCATAGATAATTCTGACCTTTTAAAATCATGTTAGGTTCAAGTCATGCCTACGAATTGTATCAAAAATTATTTTCCATAGTCAAAAACCATCTCTTAAATTAGGCTTCTCCATGTAATCATATCCATCAAGAAGTAAAAGGATGTCATATTTGCAAGCCTTCCCCAATCATGTACATTAAATAAATTGGTAAGACCCTAAGAAGGGGATTGAAACAAACTTAATTAGATGGTAGATTTAGATTTATTGTACTACTATTTACATTTCTAATTAATTTATTAATATTAAATTATTCATTATAAATTTAAGTAAAATCAACTATATTCTATTAAATTCTCAACTAATACGCAAGTGGACCATAATTACGTTCTAGAAAATCGATAGAAGTGGACCATAATTACTTTCCAGGAAAACGATAGAAAATTACAAAACATTTCTTGCCAATTACGTTTTGACTAGGAAACTTGAGTTCTTTGTGTATTTTTCAACAATTTCCACAACCATTAACCAATGGTTTTCCTTGATGTGCCTATGAAAGAGACACCCTTGTTCAACAATGGGTTTGTTCAACTTAAATTATTTATCCTAATCCTTAATTTCAACCATATTGATTTGACTATCATCTTTTTTTCCTCTTTGGCTACATTATTATTCTTATGTTATTAACTAATTATTGCAATTAGCTGACTTTTGGTTTGTCGTTTGCTGCGTGTAAAAAATATTTCACATTATTTTTCAATTTTTTAAAGTCTTATATATATTTTTTTTGCTATAAGTTGTTTAGAATTGTACCAACTATTTTTTCGAACTCAACGTCTGATTACTGGAACTTGAGTTGGGTTAGAGCATATCTCTAAAGGGACAAGGACGGCTAACCCTTAAAGAATGTGAGAAAGAATTGAATCTATGACTTTTGAGTTATCAAAAATCATACCCAACAAATAAATCGCATTTAAGAATTTTTTTAAAGCCCAATATGGGGGCAGGTGTGGTTGGTTTTAATGGGCTATGGTATTATTCTTGGTCAACCAACAATCCTGTTGAAGGATAGTTTCTCTAGCTAATCTAGTAGTGGTGGATAAGTCTAAAATAGAAATCTTTGAAAATTCAACTACAATAACTAATAATTTATCCGCCGAAATTGTTAAAATGTCCAATCCCCTCCCTCCTAATTTGAGACGCAATTGATTTGATATGGTTAAATTGG